GCAAACTGATAGGATTGAACTGTTTTTCATGTTTATCAGCAAAAAATGAGTTTTATCAGCCTCATGTTCGGTATATAAGAATGACAGTATGGAATGTAGACTATCAATCGCGAGATGTTCCGCTGAATCCTCATCTTTTTTGCCCTCTTGGCTGTAGTTGCCGCTATGGTTTGTCGAAGAGTTAAAGTAAGCATAGATGAATGATCATTTAGGTTCCTGCTGATGCAGCCCAGCAATACGCTAGAATCATCAACGCTCTTGAATACAAGAACGAAGAACAAGGTATTGCTTGTCCGTTTTTCTTCATTAACTCGTATAACGGTTTCAGCCAGACTTCTAACTCATGCGAGAGACGTAGGCGCAGCCGCTTGGAATATGGCGTCAGTTATGGGATGAATTTTGTGATTACCTCTCATCACTATTCGTTCACTAAACTTAATTTTTTCACATTTTTTTTACAAAAAAATCGATTGAAAATATGGAATATACACAGTTGGGAAGACAAGAATGTGCACCCCGATATTCTTCAGCCTCTTGCTCTTCTTTACAATCAGAATTATACTTTTCTTCAACCATATTCAATATTCATATAGGAAATTAAGATAGTTCCTTGAACATCATGTACTTTGCTCACCCTTGTTCGGTGAATAGAACTCGAAACTTGAGTTCCAATCTGAAAAAAGAGATCATCAGACAATCATTCTAGCTCGATGATAGATATAGACGAGAACAGAAAATACAGAATAACCCGCAAGGTACAAAAAAAGCGTAGCTTTGAAGAAATCTGAGGATGTACAAATCATAATAAATCCGAGAGTTCATATATTTCAGAGCTAGAATTCACTTTTTGGATGGAACAATATACGGCACTGATCTAACGTTTCCCAGTTCTGTACGCCTAATATGTTCTTGCTCGATCCTGCCATGTCGTGATTCTATGACGGGTTCAAGCACAGGAGGTCCATCGTTACTATTATCAGAATGTTCTGTTGGTTCCAAAGGTTTTGGTGCCGTAGTTGTTTGTACTACGAAAGACTAAAATGGTTGCAAAATAATTTTCTGTTCAAGTGATAGCCTACTGTTGAGCCAGAAGATAATCCACTTTCCGCTATGTTCATTGTAACAGGTTCATCTTTAATCGTGATAGGAAACAAGTGAGGAGGTCCATCCGGAGCTGAATGTAGAATAAAGCTAGTATCAATGTTAAAATTTTACTTTCAACAGCAACATAATGTTGCTTTGTAACAGGATCTACATATATTTGCATATTTTGTGTTTGGACAACAGGTCCTTGATTTGAAGGAGCTTCTTCACCCTGGAATTAATAACAAAATAAGGTTACGGATAAAAGAGAGATCGATCTCACGTTCAGTACTTCACCACCGGGGACAAGAGTGATTGCGGTTCCGTCTTCACCTGTAGCAAATATGGGCTAAATAACAATATGATCGTTAGTTAAAGTCTTGTTTCATACCCCTTGTTGCGTTATAATTTGGAACTGCTGAGATTCACCGGTAACGTTAGAATCAATGAGCATGTTATCTTGGAAAACAACTGCAGAAACTTCATGTGAAGAATTAATTCGATGACTAATACTAGATCGATTTGTTGGGAAACTATTAGTATTATGAGAGTTTTCTTGAACTGCCGACATTGCCCGAGAGTTATCCGACAGTTCACTCTCATTATTCTCGATGAAACTATTTGCCGAAATCAGTTGGGGACCATTACCAGTCCCTGGTTGCATCACAAAGGCATATGAAGACCCAGAACTGGAAAAAGGATGAGATCCTGTAGGAATAACAGTCACCATTTGAGCTGAGTTCGCTTAAAATAACAGATAAAGAGAAGTTTTGTAGTTAAATGAAGATTTTACTGCTTATTGGAGCTTGAGTTCCTGAAGTGGTAGGTTGCTCTTGATAATCGGCGAAGGAGCCTCGGTTAGGTATATTACCATTACTATTCGTAAATTTGTTAGATGCTTTATGTCTGAATCATAACACTTGCAATGTAAAAGCTGCAACACAAGCAAACACCTATTGAGCAACGCTTTAACAGGATCAACGTATTTCACTAAACCAGTAGAAGCGAGTGCATCGAGCAGATCATCTGCAGTTATAGTTCGTCTCTTTTCCTCAAAACAGTTTCAATATAAGGTGTGTAATACCAATATCACTAACAGCAAGACATTTATCACTGGCTTCACTCGTTAGGAAAGATATGAATTCGGATACACATTCCTGGACACACTCTTTAGCTTCTTTGGCTAGTTTGCCTGATTCAGGTATTACTCTTTTCATGATACGGGCTACGTTCGCTGCAATGAAGAGATGAAAAATTTGTGAATCTGTGATAGCTCACCTATAGGAAGAAAACGTTCTTGATCAAGAATCACTTGACTCCTAGGATTATCATCGCCCTGAATCTGATTATAAGTTGGACATTAAGTTTTAGCTTTGTAGAAAACAAAAACTTTGAATGTCATGTAGAATTGGGTGACAAGGGTATGATAAATAGAAAAGCTGTGATATCACAATGCTATTCATAGGTATTTTTGATAAAAGAACAGTTTATTAAATACCTTATTCTCACTAGTGCTCATGTTATCTGAGTCTTGGTAATACATATTGTCATCTTTACTATGATCCATAACTTGAACATCGACATTGTAACGTCTAGAGCCCAAGCTATGTTGCATAGGAAGGGAATGGTAGGTGCTGCTACTATCATCATTATATGATTCATCTTCTTCCAACAAAGGATATTCTTCTTTTCCTTCTTCTGACACAGCAGGATAATCAGAAGATGATGAAGCTTCCTCCATCTAAACATCTAAGCTTTGAAGACAGATCTACTGCTAGATATCTTGACCGTGAGTACAGGAACATAATAGAAAGAATAAGCAAAAACAAAATTTTATTCCTAAGAAGGAGTTATGATAAACTTTAAAAATTCAACAAATGGAATGATACAATCTAATACATTTCATATCCTAACAAAGAAATTCATACTGCAACCAAAGCGTAGTTAACAAAAATTGAGCATTTTCTTAATCTATTAATGATACTTGCAGGTTTCGGGAACGCTGCATCCTTGTTTCTGGATAACTTCAGAAGCAGCATAATGACCGGCAGCGATTGAAGGCTCGATACCTTTTCCTTGTACATATTGGGAAAGGAAACCTACAAAAAGGGAATAATATATAAACCAGAATCTTCAACTCACCCCCAACAAATGCGTCTCCAGCACCATTAGTATCCACAATCTTCTCAGGTGAGAGAAGCTCAACTGGGAACTCAAGAAGCTGATCTCCTACAGCAACAATAGTTGGATCCGAACCTTGAGTAATGATAACAGTTCTTTTCTTGGACGAAACCTAGGGAAGCTAGTAATTTAAAAATTTCCAATTTGCCGGCTACCTTTTCCATAGCAGCAATCTTGAGAGCGATTTCTTTCAAGTCTGTTGTATCAAAGCCAGCAGCCTTAAAAGGAATATAGCATATATCTCCTAAACACTAAAATTCAACCTTAGCAAAAGCCTCAGCTTCAGCTTCATTACCAAAGATAATATCAACATATGGTAGCGCAGCAAGTAAGGGTTCGGTGAAAAACTGGGAAATGAAGGGTGCTGCTAGATTGAACATAAACACCTATAAAGCAATTAGATTGCGTTAGAAAAGCTTAAATATCACCTTGTTATGTTCATGAGAGTGCTTAGCAACCTGCATGATAGCTGGTGGACACACGGTCAGGAAGAAACCCTGGAGTATGAAATGTTGAAATATTCATGAAATTCATCTTACAGCAATATAATAATATTGTGCTTTTTCAATAAGTTGATGGTGATCGTCAATATTCAAGTGGTCAATTGTGAATGTATTGGCAGCAGCCAAATGAGCACAGAGAGATCTAAAAGGTTTGATTCAAAGATGTTCCTGAACAAGTAGAGACCTGTTGGTTCCAGTAATCAAAGCAGCACAAGTTCCAGTTTTGACAGTAGGGTTAATCTGAAAAGAACAACTACTTGATGAACACATTTCGTCTGCTCTACCTGATATTGAACATTGACTCCTGCTTCAACAGCTTTGGACTTCAGTTGATCACCATAATTATCTTGTCCGATAGCACCGAAGAACGTAGTTTTGTTGGGAGCATTGAGAATCCACTAAACAATTTAGTCAGTAATTACTAATGAACGCCGACAACCTGGCAAATTCTAATAGAGTTTTGGGTAGCTCCTCCTGGGATGTACTCAACTTTGAAATCTCTTGCCAATTCCTCAAACCTTCAAGAATTAAATATGAAGAAAAACTAATTATATTAACTAACATCTCAACATGCTTGTCGTCGCAAAGAATGGCATCATTTTCTTTCAAATTCCATTTTTCAAGGAATTCCTGTAAGAAAAAGTGTTACTTACTGAGCTTCTTTAACACATTACCTTAGTAACAACAGCTTGAATATCAAGAAGAGGATTTCCCATACCCAAGAGTATTCCGTCTGGTAAATTAGCCATTGTGTATGCGAACTTGTGTAGACTAAAGCAACGAAACTACTGAAAAAATACAAGAGTAAAACGAAAGGTTGACGATCAGAATCTAAAGAAAACTAATGTTAGAACAAATATAAATTAAACAGATGATAGTGAATATAGGAAGCAGAATAAGTGCAAACTGCCGAAGATCAGGCCATTTTGAAAGATAAGAACGATCAATTATAAGGTCTAAAAAACGTCCAATGACCGCGAAAAGAAAAAAAAGAAGAACTGAGTGAATGCCACTTTCTGCGAATGGGCCAACCTAATGAGACTGAATGCAAGGTTGCTGATACTAATCTACCTTCGAAAGATTTTATCTACTTAGATTATCTGAGATGAACATTGATCCAAATATAACTTCATTCAATATATCACAGACAACGTACAAATACAAAAATATATTCAACAAGCAGTTTTTTAACATCATTGTTAAATTCATAATAAAGAAAGCTAGGGCAGACTAAAACATATGCCATAACCTTCACAGAAGTAATATAGCTGAATTGGAGAAAATGAATGGGGGTTCTCGGTTCGCGAAAAAAAATATCGTTGGAGTTAAGAACTGCACGAGGAGTAGAACGAAAACTGAGAAGAGAAGCAAATAAATGAGATTATAATTCGAATGAAACAGTCCGAACAGAGCAGCAGGGAATGATTGTTGAACATATAACTTCATGAATGAGAATGAAATGGAGATAAATGAAAAGTGATATGAATTTAATTGGAATGCGACTCCTCTACATACCACACCAATTGAAGTATGCGTATGTTGTGAGACGAGCAATTGCGTATCGGAGGTAAAAATGTTTTATTCATCAGAGCACACTTGTATTAGACTTCTATAACATCAGAAATAGATGCCGATCGTTGCCTTTGATACTAATGTGGTGCTTTGATGAGAGCTTCGCATATTCATGACCATCTAAGAGTTTTCTTCCAAGGTATCTGAAAAAAATTCATGAGTTTCATAACAATTGCAATAAATGCAGAAAAACATCAGCGAAACCTCTCCTACCTCATCATCTCTATCCAGCTTTCTACATAGGATGGTTGACATTCGTCTGCTAATAAGTCACATACAGTACAAACTACTTGAGCACAGACCATGCGAACATTTTCTTCTGTCATGTGAGCTGTCTGAAACAAAAATAACATCGAAGAATTGAATTTTCTTAAACAAACCGCTTTTGAATTGAAATGTCTTTCGCCATATTTGAAAATTGTCGGTGCTACTTGAAGTTCAAGTTCATCAACATTTTTTGCAGCCAAATGAATAATGTTAGTAAATAGACGAGTGTGTCTCATTACTTCATGGTCTTCCGACGCATCGCTTAGATCTTTATCCTTAATGAATATAAAATTAGTTCTCTCATATCTGGTGTCTCGTTATTACTTCTTCAAGTCCGAACAACTGTTTTAGTATAGGAGACTTCTCGAATATTCTTTGAAAAACAAAATAACCAAAATCTCGACCCATAGTAGTTGTTTTAGCCAGACACATTTGCCATGTTCTTCTTATTTCTTCACATTTCTGAAGAATCGAAATGAAAAGAGCATATCATTTGTTTAACATTGAAAATATCGAAGAGTGGAGATAAAGTTTTATGATGGAAATTACGCACCGTTTTGTCCAAGGCATTTTCTTCAGAGCTCAAAGATCGGTAGCTGTATGTCCTCATTTGTTTTAAGGGCGAATGGCTCTTAGCTCGTCCCAATGGTTTCATTTGGAGATCAGTCATGCTTCCTCTTGCGTCGTCCAGACTTCTAGAAGATAAAATTCTTCATGAAATCCACTGTTAACTTTTAATGTTCAAAGAGCAGATGATTGATATTTAACCGCCCCCCCCCCCCCCAAAAAAAAGAAGAA